CAGAACATTGAATCAGCTCTCCCCAAAGCTGCAAAGACCTTCTCCTCTCCAGGCTCTCCCAAATGAAGACAGAGGCCAGGTTGTCCTCCTTCAAATGGAGGCTGGGTGTGCAGAGGAGATAGTTCATCAGGAGATCAGATAGTAAATATCTCTGGGATTACAATTCCAAGATTCGAATACAGATGGGGTAAACAAGAGCATTCAGAACAACAGGATATTGACCTAGAGCAGTAGGGTGTGCAAAGAATGTTTCCTTCCATTTTGTCACTTAAGTAAATTCTCAGGGTAATGTCAATTACTCTGTATGGTAGATACTATTATTGTGCCCAGTTAGTAGAAGAGGAAACTCAGGCTCAGAGAGAATAAGCATTCACAGTAAAAGTGACAAAGTACATAAAGAGAGAAGCTGCCGTTAAAGGCAGGTTTATGGGCTCCCCTGGGGGCTCAGACAGTAAAGAATCTGCACGCACTGCAGGAGACCCAGGTTCCATCCCTGGGTTGGGAAGATCCCCTGGAGAAGGGCATGGCAACCCACTCCAGAATCCCATGGACAGAGGAGCCTGACGGGCTACAGTTCATAGCGTTGGGAAGAGTTGGGCATGGCTGAGAGACTAACACTTCCCCTTTTGCTTATGGGAAAAGCACTCAGATTGGAAGGAGAGAGTATCAGCCAAGGACATAAACAATACAAGGACTTAAATTTGTCAGAAAAGACTCGCAAACTAATGGCAGGACAGAAGGTTATGGGACCACACGTAAATGCTCAGGGCTAGGGTTCCAAGAAAGAGAAAACGTATCTGCTCATTATGAGAACTGGCATTAGCAGAAAAGAACAAAACAGACAAACAAAAAATGAAAACAAAACAAAAAAATACACACCAAAAAAAAAAAAACAAAGGAGGTGGCTGGGGACTCTGGCACCACACTCTGGTTTGGATTAACCTCAGGTTAAAAGTAATACGTGATTATTATAGAAAATTGAGAAAACCTAGAAAAGATTAAAAGAAAAAATCTTACTTAAGAACTTTTTTAAACCATTCTAAAGTTCCCTGATATAAAGGTGTTTTTAATGCGGTTTTATTTTAAAGGACTTTTTTAACGTGTAAGTTATCTCTTCACTTTCTCCGAATCAATGAATGATTGATTGAAGGAATGAATGATTGATTGAATCAATCATCTTACTACACCCTCCTCAACACTAGGTTTCATTATTTCATTTTAAATATCAGATAATTTGATAGAGAAATTTTGAAAGGGGAAATAATTGCTCACTATAGCTTATTTACATTTATTTGGTTACTTAGGAAAGTTAAAAAAATATCCACAATTATTCATCAGCATATTTCATATTTGTCTTTGACCTATTTATGTTCTTCTCTGCATATCTGCTAGGGTCCTAGTATTTGTATTCCCAAACTTATGTGAGTTTTATATTTATCAAAACCTTACTGTTTGTTAAGCTTCCTGCAACATTATCTCAGTTTTATTGATAGCTTTTTAATCTTGGTGATTTTATTTATTTTTTTTGATGTAAAAAGGTTTTAAATTCTTATGTAGTCAGATCTATCCATCACATCCTTGGGGATTTATTCCATCAATTCTAAGCTTAGAAAATTCTCCCCTCTGGGAGGTTGAATAAATATTCACATCTATTTTCTTCCAGATTTTCTAATAGTTAAGATATTTGACTCTTTAACCCATCTGCAATTTATTTTGATGTTCCTAGTGAGGTAAGAAATGTTCAAAATTCTAAAACATATTAAATTCTAAAACATAATAAAACACTTAACACCTCACATGTTTAACTGATATTAGCATAAACCAGGAAGGCCAAGTGGTACTAGCTTCAAAGGCTGCAAATTTCTTAAACAGAGTTTAGGATTTCCCTTGTAACAGCGCAGGGTACAAAATATACATACTTGCCAGTCATTACCGCAACTGAGTTTATCAGCAAGGAGCACACCCAACATATGGCCTCTTTTTCATTATTAAGAAAAGTAAGTAATAAATAAGAGCTGGGGCTCCCACCAATCATTAGTAAATCCTCCAAAGAAAATTAAGCACATATTGGAATCCTTTCCCTAATGGACTTGGGCAATCTCTCCGACTAAATCATTTCACCAAAGAAAATTTCCTTGCCTTCCAATCACCGCCTCTCGTTAAAAGCGAGGCAGACTCATTTTCACAGAGCCCACGCGGAAGAGACCCGAGGACCCCGGTGTGATTTCTCGCCACACTGGGGAAACATTTCTGCCGCTCCCTGCCTTCCAGCCCAAAGGCGGCCCGTCTGGAGCTGCACTGAGAAAGATTTGTGGCTCATGATCCTGATGGGCGCCGGAGTAATGGGATGGCTCTGTACTGCGTCCTGTAAAGGCAGGCCAGCAAGGCATTGTGCTACTGACGGCTCGCATTACAATGGAGAAATATTAGTGGGGTATTTCAACAGGCCCTCGCAGGAGAAACAGTAGCTCTGAGAATGCAGAGACTGCTTCCAAGGAGAGTAAAAGGAACAATGTAAAAAGGGGAGGGGAGCGCGGATTGGGAGCGGGGAGGAGGTGGGAAATACCTCAGGGAGAAAAAAGAAAGTCCACTCAGAGAATATATGTTAATGCAAAGCCTGTTTGCTCACGGGGTTCTCTGGAGAAAGGCGCGGCAACGATCCCGGTAGGTGAACTCTGCAATTACAGCATTATTAATTTATGCAGCCCTGCAGACCACACGTGGGACTTCATGGTAATTAAGTTACAGATAAAGTCAGGTTAGTTTCCCTCTGAATATAAACAGTTGTGTTCTGTTTAACACACCTCAGGGAAAATTTGGTGGATTTTAACCAAACAATCGTCTCTGGTAAACATATATTCTATGCAGAATCTGTCATCGATATAATGTTAGAGGGGGAAGAAAGTACTGTTCAGCGGTGGACTTAGCAGAAGAGCAGGAAGGATGGAGGCTCAGTCAGTCAACCACTCCCTTACGAGGAGGGTAGGGAGCCTGGAGACTAGAGGTTTCCTGAGACCCTCCCACGGAGTCTGCATTAGTGATTTGCAAAGGTTCAGGCAGACCCTGGAAAAGGCCAGAGTGTTGGTCGCTCAGTCCTGTGGACTCTTTGGCAATCCCACTGGACTCTTGCCCAGAGGCTCCTCCGTCCATGGGACTCTCCAGGCAAGAATACCGGAGAGGGTTGCCATTTCCTTCTCCAGGGGATCTTCCTGACCCAGGGGATCGAACCCGGGTCTCCTGAATTGCAGGCAGAGTCTTTATCACTGAGCCACCAGGAAAGCCTAGCCGACATCAGGATAAGGATAAAATCCTTTATCATGGTCACCTGGAATGCTCAGAAAAGGATTAAACCCTTAAAAAGTGGCATACTGGACCCTGCAATTTTACTGCCAGGAATTCATTGTAAGTAAAGAACCACCCTGATAGCTCATTTTTGTGTGTGTGTCAACCTGGTGGAACCCCAGGGTGCTCAGATATTTTGTTAAACATTTTATTGGTGTGTCTGGGGATGTTTCTGGATGAAATTAACATCCTGAATAGAGTAAAAGGCTGAGGAAGGAAGAATTCTTTCTCTGAATCTGTCTTTGAGCTGAGACATTGGTCTTCTGCTACAGAGATGTTCATCACAGTAGTGTTTATGATAGCAAAACTGCAATCAATTTGCCTTTTTCAACTAACGTTTTACTGTGAACAAATCTCTGTATCTGTAGATATGTTTGTGGACCTCATCTTTTTTTTTTCATATTTTTTTATTCAATTGAAGCATGGTTGATTTACAATGTTGTATTAATTTCTGCTGTATAACAAAGTTATACATATAAATGCATTCATTTTTGGATACTTCATGATATACATATTTTAATGGTATGTTTGTTTGGGGGTATAGCCAATTAACAACGTTGTGATAGTTTCAGGTGAAGAGCAAAGAGACTCAGCCGTACATATACGTGTATCACGTATTCTTCCCCATTGTGATTTATCAAAGGATTTTGAGTGCAGTTCCCTGGGCTACACGGTAGGACCTTGTTGTTTATCCCTTCTTTATAGAAAAGCTTATATCTGCTAACCCCAACCTCCCATTCCATCCTTCCGCCAATGCCCTCCCCCTTGTCAACCACAAATCTGGTCTTCATGGTGAACCTCATCTTGAATCACCATGGAACCTCCCACTGCTGCTGCTGCTAAGTAGCTTCAGTCGTGTCCGACTCTGTGTGACCCCATAGACGGCAGCCCGCCACGTTCCACCGTCCCTGGGATTCTCCAGGCAAGAACACTGATCAGTACATCATAATTAGTGTAATCAATATGTACAACTTAAGAATGATGCTATATAAGCCATTTATATGTTCACTAAGTTGAAAGCAGCACAGTTTAAACACCATGAATATTGTAAGATTCAGTTTCTGCTTGCTAAGTCTCTCAGAAGTAACTTCTCCAGCAGTTCCAACAAAAGTCATAAATGGATTTGCTTTATGACTGATAAAATGCCTAATCAAAAGGCATTCTTTATTGTATCTACACTGTCATTTACATAATTGAATTTTATGCCAGATTCTCTAATTCATGTCCCTGAGTAACCCACATATCAGATATATGCTTAAGGGACATTTTTCAAGATTGTGAAAAGCATGTATAGAAGGAAAGCCATGTACAGTATACTAGTAGATCTAAAGAAAATGTTAAGACACAGTTAGTTACCTATTGCTGCATAACAAATTACCCCAAAATGTAGTGGCTGAAAGCAATAAACAATTATTATCTCAGACTATCTGTGAGTCAAGAAGCCAACCATGGCTCAGCAGGGTCCTTTGGGTCTGATCTCTTATAGGGCTTCAACCAAGATGTGGGCCAGGCCTGCATCTATCTTAAAACTCAACTGGGAGTTGATCCATGTTTAAGTTCATTCAAGTAGCTGTTGACAGGAGTCAGTTCCTCATTAATTGTTGGCCTAAGATCGCTCTTTCTTTTTTTTTCCTGACCTCTAAAGAGCAGCTCACAGCATGGCAGCTGGCTTCACCAGAATGAGAAAGTGGGAAGGCATAAGACGTAAGTCAAAAGTCACAAACTTTTATAGGCAGGGCTTCTGTGTTTAACAAATAAAAATTCATGACACCCAAAGCAGTGCTAAGAGGAAAATTTATAGCTATAAATGTGTACATTAAATTGAAAATCTCAGAACTAGGAAAAAAAAAAGAGCTAACTAAATCCAAAGCTAACAGAAGGAAGGAAATAATAAAGATTACAACAGAAATTAATGGAACACAAAATAGGGAAACTATAAAGAAAATCAGAAAAAAACAATAGCTGATTCTTTCAGAATATTAGCAAAATGGACAAAACTTTGGCTAAATTAATATTGAAAGAGAAAAAGACTCAAATCAGAATGAAAGATGGCAGCTATCAACCAATTTTACTAAAATAAAAAGCATTATAAAAGAATGCCATGAACAACTGTACTTCAACAATGCTGATGACTTAAATGAAAGGGACGAAGTCCTAAAAATACATCTATCAGACTGCTTGGATTCCTTTCAGTAACTCCCTTCAGTGACTCTTTTCTGTGTTAGCGACCTTGTATGTAGTAGACTATCCATATTGTGATTATTGATAAAATTTCATCCTGTGTAATAGCTGAGTAATCATCTCACTAAAGATATGTAAGACTACATTTCTGATAATAAAATACCCTTGCTCCATCAGAGCTTGGGTCCCCGTGTCTGTCTGTCTTTCTTTCTTTCTCTCTCTTTCTTTCTTTCTCTCTTTCTCCCTCTCTCTCTCTCTCCCTTCCTCCCTCCCTTCCTCCCTCCCTCCCTTCCTTCCTTCTTTCTTTCTTTCCGGCTCTCTCTTTCACTTTCTTATCGTCAACTCCAGACCACCAGGTTCTGGTACATTAAAGGACCCCAACATCTGGGCAATCTTGATTCCAGATTGTGCTTCATCCAACCCAGCGTTTCTCATGATGTACTCTGCATATAAAAGCTAAATAAGCAAAATTACTCAACAAAATACTGGTAAATCATATTGAATAGCACATTACAGGGATTTTACACATGATTAAATGGGATTTACTACTGGAATGCAAAGATAGTTCAATGTATAAAATTAATCAATGCAATACACCACATTAACAGAATAAAAGGGGGAACACTTGATCACCTCAACTGATGCAGAAAATCATTGAAAGAAATTCAATTTTTTCCATCATTGAAAAACATTCAACAAGCTAGGAAAAGAAGAAAACTACCTCAACATTATAAAGACTGTATATGAAAAATCCACAGCTAACATCATACAAAGATAAAAACATTTTCTCTAACATTAGGAATAAGATAAGGAAGGCCCTTTTTGCCACTTGTGCTCAACACACTACTGGAAGTCCTAGCCAGAGCTGTTAGGCAAGAAAAGGAAATGAAAGGCATTCAAGTTGGTAAAGAAGAAGTAAAACAGTCTCTGCAGATGGTCCTAATTTTATGTGTAGAAAATCCTAAACATTCCACACACACAAAAAAACTGCTGGATACAAAGTCAACACACAAAAGTCAGTTCTGTTTCTATCCACTGACAATGAACAATTTGGAAAGGAAATTAAGAAAACGATTTCATATACAGTAGCATCAAAAAGAATAAAATTCCTAGGAATAAAATTAACCAAGGAGGTAAAAGACTTGTACACTAAAAACAGCAGAACATTGCTGAAATAATTGTAAAAGACACAGATAAATGGAAAGACATCCACACTTTGTGGATTGGAAGATTTAATATTAAAGTATCACTACACAAAGCTATCTACATGTTTAATAGAATGCCTGTCACTTTCAAGTGGTATTTTTGCAGAATAGAAAAATTTCTGCCAAAAGAAAAAATTCATAGTAAAATTTATATTGAGTCTCAAGAAAATAGCAGATAGTCTTCTGAGAGAAGAACAAATTTAGTGGTCTCACAATTCCTCATTTCAAATCTTATTGTGAAGCTATAGTAATCAAAGCAGTGTGGTACTGGCATAAAGACTAGAATGTATACCAATGGAATAGAATAGAGCCAAGAAATACAGCTTCTTGTATATAATCAACTAATCTTTAACAAGGATGCCAAGACTCAATGGGAAAGGAATAGTGTTTTTAACAACTGGTGTTAAGAAAACTGGATATTCACATGCAAAAGAATTAAGTTGGACCCTAACCTTGTGCCATGTACAAAAAATTAACTCAAAGTGGATCAAGGACATAAATGTGTGAGCTGAACTACAAAACTCTTAGAAGAAAACATAGGGGAAAATCTTCATGACATTAGACTTTGCAGGGATTTCTTGGAAGTGACACCAAAGAGCACAGACACTAAAAGTAAAAATAGATCAGCCAGACCTCATCAAAATTCAAAACTTTTCCTATGTCAAAGGACACAATTAATAAGCAGAAAAGATAATCTACAGCATCAGAGAAAAGATTTAATAATCATTATTCAATTATTACTAAATCACTATTATCTGGAGTTAATACTCGGGATGTGCTCAGTCCTGTCTGACTCTTTGAGACCCTATAGACTACAGACTCTGTCCGTGGAATTTCCCAGGCAAGAATACTAGAGTGAGTTGCTGTTTCCTCCTCCAGGGGATTTCCTGACCCAGGGATCAAACTCACGTCTCTTGTGTCTCCTGCATTGGCAGGTGGATTCCTTAACCCTGTGCCACCTGGGAATCCCCTATGAGGTATCTAGTGCAAATTCATAAAAACAGAAAGACTGGTATTTTCCAGTCAAGGAGGAGAAGGAAATGGAAGTTTATTGCTTAATAAGAATATAGTTTCAGTTTTGCGGTATGGAAAGTTTGCAGTTTGGCTGTACAACGTTGTGAATATACTTAACATTTCTGAATTATACTCTTAAAGATTTATAATATTAATTATTAATTAATTAATTAATTATTAATTTATATTGTGCATTTTTTACTAAAATTAGAAGTGAAGTATTAGTCACTCAGCTGTGTCCAACTCTGCTACACCATGGACTGTAGCCTGCCAGGCTCCTCTGTCCATGGAATTCTCCAGGCAAGAATATGGAATGGATTGCTATCCTCTTTTCCAGGGAATCTCCCTGACCCAAGGATTGAACCCAGGTCTCCTGCATTGCAGGCAAGTTTTTAACCATCTGAGCCACCAGGGAAACCCACTAAAATGAAAACTAAAAATTAAGAAACAGGTCATCCAGTTAAAATCTAGTTTCAGATAAATCCTGTTTGAATAATTTTTAGTGTTAATACAGTATGTTCTGGGGCTTCCCAGGTGGCTCAGTGGTAAAGGATCTGCTTGCCAAGCAGGAGACATGGGTTTGACCCCTGGGTTGGGAAGATCCTCTGGAGAAAGAAATAGCAACCCACTCCGGGATTCTTGCCTGGAAAATCCCATGGACAGAGGAGCCTGATGGGCTACAGCTCATGGGGTCACGAAAGAGTCAGACACGACCTGCCAACTAAACAACAACGATAACAATCACAATATGTCCCAAATCTTGTATGGGACATACTTAGAGTAAAAAGTATCTGAAATTCAAATTTAACTCCTCCATGAGAAGCAAAATTTTATGAAATTCTATTTTCATGTGTAATGAGGAGCTAATAACTAGGTTACAAAAAATGTTTTTTTAGTTATGGCAGCATTTTTAATTTACTAAAAACTTGAATTTGTTATTCTACCATGCCATCTGAGTACAAAATTTATAAGTCTTTTCAGAGAAGGAACATATATATCAGAGGAAGAACTTATGTAAATGAAACCCCTGTAAGTTATAAGGACCAATTGTCTTCATCCATGAGCTATTGGTATTGTTTCAAAATGGTTAAAATTTTCAGTTGATGCTATCATTAACTGTTAAAATGTAAATTACTATGAGCTTAAGAATTATAGTATGTTGAGGACACTTTTGTAAACCCCAGATTGTGTAGCAATCCATATATCTATCAAAAATATTCTAGGATGGGTTTGAGGGTGGGGAATTATAAGAAGGTGGTCAAAAGGTACAAACTTCTAGTTATAAGTAAACATTAGATATGTAATATACAGCATGATGACTATAGTTAACACTGTTTTATGGTGTATTTGAATGTTATTAAGAAAGGAACCCTGAAAGTTCTCATCAAAAGGGGAAAAGGTTTTATATATTTTCTTTTTTTGTATCTTTACAAGGTGATGGATATTAACTAAACATCATGGTCACCATTTCACAGTACATACAAGTCAAGTCACTATGCTGTCTACCTTAAACTGATTCAATGCTGTATGTCAATTGTATCTCAATAAAACTGAAAATTTTAAAAAAAGATTATTTTAGGACTCTAGCTTGTAGGAACTCTGAGTTGGCACATAGCAAATGCTCAAATATTTGTTGATGTGTTGAACAAATGTACTGTGTGCTTTAAGAGTATTGTCACATCCAGTTAAATGCCATTTGTAAACAAGCAGGCTAAGGTTTAGAAGGGTCAGGTTATCTGCCTCTGGTTACCTCCTGCAGAGTTAGGATTTGCACCCAGGAGTCTCTGGTGCCAGAAACCCAGCCCGCTCTTCACCACACACCACATGGCCTTGCATTTATGAGACCAAACGCCAGAGCCAATGGCTATGTAATTCAACACACCCTTCTGTTGGCATGATTCCTAAGGTGAAATCTCTGTGTCATAGATTTAGTTTTTCATTGCAAAGTAGCATTAAATATGGTAAGAAAGTTTCTTAGTCTCCCTAATTAGACTATGATGAACAATGCCTGAGAACCAAATAATTAAAGGCCAGATAACTTTATGCTCAGTCACTTGGTCGTGTCCAGCTCTCTATGGCCCCATGAACTATATAGCCCACCAAACTCCTCTGTCCATGGAATTTTCCAGGCAAGAATACTGGAGTGGCTTCCAATTCCTACTCCAGGGGATCTTCCCAACCTGGGGATTGAACCTGAGTCTCTTGCATCTTCTGCACTGGCAGGAAGATTTTATACCACTAGCACCACCTGGCAATTTTGTGTATGTGGAAATCATTTCGCTGTTCCCCATGCAGGTATACATT